AAAAACTACAGCAGTGAAATTTGACAGGAAACATTCAAGGTGAAATTATTTCTATTTCATATTAATTTAAGTTTTGATCTCAAAGACAAATATTTCTACATCACTACATTTGTCTGAGAGCTGACTTATACGAGCACAAAGAAAACTCGTGTATGCACATACATCCATTATGTTTCTTTATTAAATAAAATGCTGAGCTGTTTGATTTTATCCATAAATTAAATTATTATTGAAAAAACAATGAATGAATGTTGATATTTTTAAACTTGAAGCACCATCCAAATGCAGGTCACACAGGTCCCTCTGACATACACAGAGCACGTGTGACATGTGACCGTAGAAGAGCAGAATTGCACAGCGTGAGGTCAAAGGTCGCAGTGAAGTTGTTCTGGAGTTTGTCTCCGAACAAACAACATCTTGTATATGGACACATTGATCAAAGAAATAAAGTATAAGCATATCTAAATATGGAACTGTTTGTCAAACATGATTCGGACACAAATTGGGAAATAATTGGCGTTTCAAATTTAAATAATGAACGAACGAGCTTCAGGTGAACTCCCTGTTTTTGTTGAACTTGTACGTTCAATAGAACAGCTGGCATCAGACTCTTCTGCACTATGTTTTTGCCCAGTGTTTGGGTTCTAAGTAGGTTTTAAAAAACCTAAATCAACATCTTTTTAGTCTAAAGAAGTTCAGGAAATCCTTTTAAATGTATGACCTGACACCTTAGACACCACAAAAGACAACACAATACATGCTTGTAGCAGTTCCCATAGTCAGGTGGGATACAGGAGGGGTTGGGCTCTTAATTATATTACAGTGACCCTATGACAGCAGTATAGGTGAGGTCCCCAACCCTGTCCCCACAGGGCGGTGCTGCCTGGCTGCCCCCGACACCCAGAGGTACCACAAAAGTAAAAGTCTAATGGAGCGCTTTCTGCTGTGCAGTGCGAGTCTGTTCTACACACTCCACGGCATGAAGGTTTGTTCTCTTCATGTAATCAGTCAAAGTGCAACAAATTAGTGCAATAAGTTGAACATTAAATATCTGTATCATTCCTTTAAATGAACAGAGCTCCTTGAAATCTGCTGCAGGTGAGCCACTGATCACTGCACTAATTACAGCATGAAATGCACTTTGTGTCAAAATACTCATGAAGCTCAATGTTTTATTGGATGATGATAAAGCTAAGGTGTAAATGAGGACACTTACTCTCTGCCAGAGACGAGAACAGCATGCAGCTGAGTGAAAACAGGACCAGCAGCCCCCCTCGGGGCAGATGGAACCCTGCCAGGTGAATATTACACACCATGTTCCGCTGGACACGTCCCACTATGTCAAGGTCAAAGACAAACACCTGAGACAGCAAACACATGCAGAAGAGAGGTACAGAACAATCAAACTTACCACATCTCTGCACACAGGCTGCTCAAAACATTAAGGGAGGAGCCAGAAAGTTGATTCTGTTCTAACTTCTATTCTGTATGTTGTGTTTTCAGTGGGAGAAACATTTAACTCACCTATGCAACTTCTTCAGCCTTAGACACTGAAAACGCAACATCAACGTGCAAAGAATCAACTTTCTGGGATTTCCTTCCCTCTGTGACTGAGCATGTGTCACGACACTGAGGCAAGCATCAGTTCAGAGACATAAACCACTATGAATCCATTTCAGCTGCATTGGTGCAAATTCGAGTAACAACATGTAAACTGAGAAGACAAGAGCAAGGCAAAGTCCCATAATGGTAACACTCTGCTCTTATTCCTCCTCCTCACTTTTCTCTGGTTTACTTTTTGTTATTGTCCTCCTCTCTGCTGATGGCATGAGACAGTATCTGCAGCAGATTCAAGCTCCACAGGTTTTCTGCAGGGAGGAAGAGGAGGAGCGTTGCCAGAGCCCTACAAAGTGACCTCCACCTACTGAAGCTACTGAGGCATGTTTCTGAGGGTACTCAGGTCTATACTGAGGAAACGTGACAGACATGAAGGAGTCTGGAGGCACAAACATGACCAGTTTGGTGATGGTCAGTGATGGCCTGGGGAAAGGAATGGTTGTGTTAGGCTGTGGAAGAAGATCTCAGCTGACTATATATTTCTTCCATTTGTGTAAATTTTGGACCCTGTTCTCTCATTGATCACACCATCAGGTGTCTCACTCTCTGTGCAGGTGGAGAGAGCAGAGCTGTCACGATGCCAGAAATGTGGTAATCACAGAATTACACAATACACCATACCTGACTGTCACATGATGATCACCGGTACATAAGTATCAGGTTATTTAAGTCTTTTTAAATCACTGCTGCATTTATTTAAATATTTTCTCTATCAATAATTTTGCGGCAGAAACATTTTTGTCACATGGTTAAAAAAATGTTTAACACAAAAAGTCTTAAGACTTCAGAGAAGTTTTAAAAATTCTGATTATAATTTGGGACACAGATGTTGAAATAATGCGGATACTTGTCAAAGCGGCTGTTTCTTTCTATAAAACCAAACACACAGAAACTATCATATAACACTGTCAGCTGTGATTATGCTAGAAACTGCCAACATGTGTTCATCCACACTGTGATTGTTCGGTTATTAAAACGTTAAAGTTAAAATTTTCCTGTTAGTAAAAGTTCTGCTTATAAACGCGTCATGTGTTTGATCCCAGATGAAAAGTTGTATATGTTTAGAAAAGCATAAAGCATGTTAACAGTTTAAATCTTTATAAATATTTGCATGTAAAACAAACAAATGTCAACATTGTATATAAATACAAAACTAAACTCGATGAGAACATTCAGGAATGATAACGGTGAACTTACTGAATCTCCTTTTTGTCTCCTTCTCTCAAAGTGTTTGGTTCTTTATTTATTTTTCAGGGAGTCCAACAACCTACTTTATGTAATTAAGAGCAAACAGGAGTCAGGTGACCTGGTAACGGGCAGACGTGGGCGTGGCTAATTGTCCCAGTGTAACAGCTGACATTTGTTTACATAGTCCTGGCTGTGATCCTGTGTTGCAGATTTCATCATTTTCCTCTAACAGCAGCACAGAGCTGCCAGCATGTTTAATGATTGACAAGATTAAAGACAAAATGTTGCTGTGATCAGTTCACGATAAATCTGATAAATAACTGCTTTAATATAAGTTTGGTCAAGTTGTTCTGGTGTGTATAACTGTGCTCCTCTTATAGAGAACAAATGTGAGATGTTGATTCCTGCCAGCAGAAACCAGCACAGGCTGCTTCATGTGGACTGGAACTAATAACTGCTTTGATATTAGTTGGGGGGAGTTGTTTACACTCTAAAAATTAATTCAGAGGCTTAGTAAATATCACGATGAATACAAGTTAGATGAGCCTGATTAGATGAGCCTGATAAAATCTATGAATATCCTTTTAGTAATTATTTGAGTTTGATAAATTAAAATAAATGTCTAGAATTTCAACGTATGTGTTTGTGTTAAATTAAGGTATTTATTTACATTTATTTCAGACAAAAAATTCAGTATTTGGTTCACAGAATACCTTTTTTGCATGTACTTAATATTTTTGTTTGAAATTGAATCTAAATATTTGAGAAATAGGTATCTATACTTATCAGTATCTTGTACAAAAATCATTAATTATTCAAATCAATATTATTTATTGTCAGCAACTACAACTTAAAAGTGTAAGTAAAACACCATAACATAGAGTAATTGATTATTAGTGTGCGGCACGCACAGCCTCACGGGAAATTTTTCATTTCATCACAACAGCGGTCAACAGACACTGCCGGTAAGTGGCCTGAGCGAAAACTGTTAATGTAACATTAAGGCTGTTATACTGTAACCTTCTCAAGAACTTAGTAGTTCTTAAGCCGTCTTCCCGTTGTCAGTATCTCTCAGATTGCCTTTTTTCTGTTGTTGTTGAGACTATTAAAAGAAATATAACTCGCGGTTAATAATTTGTCCTATTTGATTTGCAATGAGCATATTTTCCTTCAGTAGTGTGCATGTTGGAGAATGTGTGTATATGTTGAGCCTTTTTTTCTGTTTATATCTTTTGTCATCACGGAACAAACAATTCGGTGGAGACAATGGTGCTTTTACCTATCAGTACAAATAAGAAAAAGGTTGTTCCATGTTATTTTGGATGAGCGAAATCCGAAAGATAGATAGATAGATAAATAGAGAGATAGATATATACATAGAGAGATAGATATAGAGATAGAGAGATAGAGATAGATAGATAGATAGATAGATAGATAGATAGATAGATAGATAGATAGATAGAAAGATAGATATAGATAGAGATATAGATAGAGAGATAGAGAGATAGATAGATAGATAGATACATAGAGAGATAGATATAGAGATAGAGAGATAGAGAGAGAGAGTGAGAGCTAGATAGATAGATAGATAGATAGATAGATAGATAGATAGATAGATAGAGAGATAGAGAGATAGATA